CTCCTCTCAGGATCTTGGGCACGCACGCACATGCACCCGACATGAGTTTAAGCCACCGGGTCCGGGACTCGAACTGTGGTCAGCTACATGGGAGTTCAGCAACATAGCCATTACACTAACTGCTGGTCCCAAAGGAAGCTCTTTTTTCCAATATTTCTTCTTGTTTCTTTTTCTAGATTAGTCTGCTTTAAGCTCTGAGTAGCATCTTGGAATCCAATTTAACTATAATACATTTTTTTTTATTTTATTTTTTTTATTATATAATACCTTCTTGAAATCTTCTAGAACATCATCAAAAGATCCCAGCCTACTTATCAGCCCTTGGTTATAATATGGAACTTGGAAACTGGGTTGGATTTCTGTGGAAGATGTGTGGTTTTCTGTGGCTTCTCAAAACTAACCCTGAATGGGCACCGCAGTTAGAGTAATGGCTATGTCGCTGGAATCTCATGTAGTTGACCGCGGTTCGTGTCCTGGACCCAGTGACTTAAACTTGCGCCGGGCGCATGTGTGTGTGTGCCCAAGATCCCAAGAGGAGAATGGAGGAGAAGGGTTGCGGCGTGGCCATCCCCCCTGGGGGCGATTTCTCGCTTTCTGTCTCTCTCTGTCTTTCCGGCGAGCGCACACACACTATAGCAAAAACCTCTCCAAAAAAAAAGGAAAAGAGCTAATATGGTCTGTTGGTACATGGATTGGAATGATATAATGGAAAGGAGAGGCCGATGACAAAGGAGAGGGCAAGAATAATTGTTGGAGAGATGTCCTTGGTTAGACAGGAGGGGATGGAACCCAGTGAGGGGCTGCTTGAAGTTGGACCGTGGCTTATCCGTGGACAGAAGTGACAGCTGAGCGTGTGTGCAGACGCCCCGGTGCACTGCTGCCTCATGTAGGTACGTGTCCTAACTTTCCTGCTGTGCAGCGAGTTCCCGGAGAGCAGAGGCTCTGTCTTACATGGTTCCGCGTCTTTATAACCCTGGCTTGAGAGACGGCAGGTGCTTAAATACATGTAGTTGGTGCCACACAGCCACGTTCTGGTCGACGAAGAACCCTGTGTACTACGGTGGTTGCCATGAGATTAGAGTGGGCTGTACTGCATGGCCTGGGTATGCAGCGGGCTGCACCACTGAAGCTTGTGCAAGTCACTCGGATGCTTGCACGACGAGCAGACCGCCTGATGACACATTTCTCAGAACAGACCCCTGTCGTTAAGTGACACATGGCTGTATTTGAGTGAGAGTAGGAGTCTTTTCATTTCTTTATGTTGTCATGCGGTATTAAAATATTTCTTCTTTTATTTCAATTGCCAGAGAGTGCATGTGCTTGCCAGGACGAGACAGAGATAGCGAGAGAGAAAGCACCACCCCTGACCTGCCGCCATGGAATATGGCTATGCTGGGTCCCCTTCTCCATTTCTCCTTCCCCTCAGGATTTGGAACATGCACACACACCTGCCTGGAGTGCCTTTCAAGCCTCCAGGGGCAGGGCTGCAAAGCACAGTTGGGCACGTTGGCTCGAGCTCCCTTAACTACTGTGCTGCAGGGCAGGCCCACGATACTCCTTCTTATATATGTGGAGGTTTATACTGAACAGTGAGGTCTTGGTTGTAGAACAGGGTTTTTTTTTTTTTCCTTTTGTACCTGTCTAAGAAGTCTTTGTTTTTTAACAAGTAGTCCAAAGCAGTTGGGATCAGCTTAAGATATGAAGTGGAGGACCAGCAGGTAGTCAAGCAGCAGGGAGGTTAAGGTAGTGGGATCCCACATGGCCGACTGTACGGTTCAAGTCCCAGACCCAGTGGCTTTAAAATCACACCAGACACATGGGTGTATGCCCAAAATCCCAAGAGGAGAATGGAAGAGAAGGGATTGCAACATGGCCTTCCCCCCGATTAAGTGATTTCTCACTTTCCCCTTCTCTCTCTCTCTGGCAAGTATATGCACCCTATAGCAAAGCTTAAAAAAAAATAAAAGACACAAAATGGAATTTGTTGGTAAGGCTAGAGGGGCTTCTCATAGACTTAGGATTATGGCTGTGCCCAGGCAAGGCCTAGAGCCAGTATTTGGAAGTGTGTTGGGACTCACTGTCTCCCACCTCCTCTTTCCTCTGAACATCAGCTTAACTTTTCCACTGCTCACTGCAGACTGGCTTTGCATTTCCATCCACGTCACAGAACATGGCTGCCCTTGCAAGTTATCTTGACAGACACGATGGCAGGCTGTCTCTAGGCCCAAGTCTGAGGTCGAAGAACTATTTTAGAGGGTCCAGAAGGTGGCAGTGGTGGTTAAGGCACTGGACTCCCACGTGGTCGATGGTGGTTCAAGACCCAGATCCAGTGGCATGAAACTTGTGCCAGATACTTGTGCCCAGGATCCCAAGAGGAGAATGGAGGAGAGGGGATTGTGGCATGGCCAGTCCTCCCTGGGGGATGATTTCTCAGTTTCTGTCTCTCAATCTCTCGCAGTCTGTCTGGCAAGTGCAGGCACCCCATAGTAAAAATCTCTCAAAAAGGAAGGGCCTGGATAGATTGGCTCATCAGGTGTCTATTACTGGATCCATCAGCTGTGGCCAGGGAGGCAGGTGACATGTGTTCCTAACAGCTCTTCTTTGTGGGTAGATGGAAGCCTCCAGACACCTCAGTTAGTCTCACTATAATGGAGGGGTTTGTGAATTGGCATGGATGGGTGGATAGATCGACAGTGAGTGAGTGAAGGGGTGGATGGACAGATGTGTGCTCTCGCTGTGTGGTCAAATAACTCTGAATAGCTCAGAAACCTAGAATGAAAGGAGAGTGCTTGGCAGTCCTGGTGGTGGCGGGTACTGAGGAGGGGACTGTGAGGACAGGGCCCTGATGGCAGCTGAGGGTATAGACTAGGCCACTGTGGAAAGGAAGCTTACTGTCACGAGTCAAGGATTTCTGGAAACTCCTTGCTTTCCTTTCCACTAGGAAGCTCCTTATTTTCGTGTCGCAGCTGAAGGGGCACTGTTTTCAGCTTTGACAGGGACTGGTTTCTGAAAGTAAGCCGAGATGTACATGGGCCCTGTTCCAGCAAGTCTGGGGCAGCCTGTCCACGCTCTTCAGGTGGCCTAGGGAAGCCTTCGCCTCCTGTCCTCTCCTCTCACTATTTTGGAACTCACCTTCCTGCAACCCAATCTCCTGCTTCCTTCTCAGGGTACCCGGAGCCAGAGGTGACCTGGTACAAGGATGACACGGAGCTGGACCGCTACTGTGGCTTGCCAAAATACGAGATCTTTCACCAGGGCAACCGCCATACCCTGCAGCTGTACAGGTGAGGGAGGAGGGCCTGTCCTGCCCGCCCTGCCCTCCTGAGGGCCCCGAAGCCTGCACCCACCCACAGACACAGAGGCAGCTGGGCGGGGATGCTCAGGCACTCTCTGGGGTTCGATGGCGGGTTCTGCCATGGAGTTGAGCCACCTGGCGCACCGTGTCTGCCTACCAGTGCTTGGGATCTCCTGGGGCCAGGGTGGGAGGATTTCTGACAGCCAGAGAGCTGAGCGCAACCAGAGGAGGTCCTGACCCTTAGAAACATTTTTCCATGAGGTCAGATGCCAAAAAAAGCAACCGTGTCATCATTACTTCACAAGGGGCTGTGTCGGTCACCTGCTTCTACAGGGAGCTCTCCTGGGCCCTACGGATAATCCCTCTTGGGACAGCATGACCTCGGTCAGCTGCCATCCTCTTGCCAGCCTCAGTTTCCTCAGCTGTCACAGAGGTGTCGTCGGTGGTGATATCTGAGGCAAGGGCACGCACGCAGGGCTGGACTTGCAGGGGCAGGAGGGAGCCCCTCACCTCTGAAGGGCTCTGGCTGTGGGGAGTGGGGGCTCTTGTCTCTCAGGGGAGGAGAGGTGGCACCTCGTGCTCCTGTCTCTAGGTGTCAAGAAGAAGATGCCGCCATCTACCAGGCCTCTGCCCGGAACACCAAGGGCATTGTGTCCTGCTCAGGGGTCCTGGAGGTGGGCACCATGACAGAGTACAAGATCCACCAGCGATGGTTTGCCAAGTTGAAGCGCAAGGCCGCCGCGAAGATGCGTGAGATCGAGCAGAGCTGGAAGCACGGGAAGGAGGTGGAGGGGGAGGCCGACACACTGCGCAAGCTCAGCCCTGACCGCTTCCAGCGCAAGCGACGACTGAGTGGGGCGGAGGTGCCGGGCCCCCCCGCCCCCCCCGCCCCTCCCAGGGAGGCAGAGGACGGGACCCCGGTGCCTTGGCAGGAGGGAGAAGCCGAGTCTCCCCAACACCCAGGTTTGGGCCTGATCAACAGTTTCGCTTCCGGAGAGGTGACCACCAATGGCGAGGCCGCCCCCGAGAACGGGGAAGACGGGGAGCATGGCTTGCTGACCTACATCTGTGAGGCCATGGAGCTGGGGCCTCAGAAAGCTCCCAGAAAGGAGTCTGGGGCCAAGAAGAAAAAGAAAGACGAGGGATCTAAGCAAGGTGTGCGGAAACCAGAGTTCGAGAAGGCAGCCCGAAGCCGTTGGTCTTCTGAAAACCGTGTCCCTGGATCGGACAGACCTGATTCCGGTGGGACTCAGGGGGCCGTGGATAGGGAGCAGCCCCAGACCCAGCCCAGGAGCAGGGCTGCACCGGGACCTGGGTCCTCTGGATCAGACGGTTCCAAGAAGCCAGACTCCACTGTGGGCGCTCAAGACAAGGCCCAGGATGCCCCGGCCCCGACCCCCGCCCCGGGCCCAGACCAGGAAGTGTACTTCTCTCTGAAGGACATGTACATGGAGAGCACCCGGACAGTCAGGCCTCAGCGGGAAGATGCGTCCCGCCCACCAAGTGTCAAGGCACCAGGAGAGATTCCCTCAGGGAAGGTACCCATCGAGGCTGGAGAGCCAGGCATGCCTGCCGCCCCTGGCCAGCCCACACCCTCCTTGGCTCCACCGCCCACCAGGCCTTTTAACAGGAGGAGATTTGCTCCCCCCAAGCCCAAAGGGGAGCCCGCCACCCACGGCCAGCCTATTTCCTCCCTAAGTCAAGCTCCAGAACACAAGGAGGCCCAGGGCTCTGGGAAGAACCCGCCCCAGACCTCTCCCCAGGTGCCGACACCCCCTGCCCGGCGGAGGCACGGCTTGCGGGACAGCCCCTCGCAGGGGCGAGCCAGCCACAGGACCCTGGGAGAGGTAAGTGTGGGTGTGGGTGCTGGAGGCCACTCTGGGAAGCTGACCTCACCTCATGGAAACTCTTGCTGCCACAGCCCGGCAGCCATGAGCAGGGGGCTATTTATAGAAGGGGGTGGGGAAGGGAGGGTGTGCCAGCCAGGAGCAGGGACCACGGGCATGGCCTCACCCCAGCCACTTGCAGATGCCAGGCAGGCGGGCAGCACATCCTGACTGTGACCCTCTCTTCCAAGAGTGTAGGTGTTCACAGCCAAGGGGACGAGCCCCAGAGGGAGGAGGAGGGGACCAGTGGGGAGTGTTCCATGAGCTGTTCTGGGGAACAGTGTCTCATGGGGGAGCCTGAGGAGCAGGGCAAGCCTCAATAGATGGTAGGTCTTATGGGAAGATTTAATAAAAAAAAACCTGAATGTCAGGGCCAGCAGGTGACATGGTGGGTAAGGCACTGGACTCCCACATGGCTGACCGCAGTTTAAGCCCCAGAACTGACAGCTTAAAAATGCCGGGTGCATATGCATGCATGTCCAAAATCCTGACAGGAGAATGAGGCAGAAGGGATCGAGGTGTGGCCATCCCCCGAGGAGTGATTTCTCACTTTCCCTCTGTCCACGAGTGCACATGCCCTATGGCAAAAAAAAATACCCTTAATAAAAATACTGAGTGTCCAGGAAATGCTGGTTTCATGTTTCCCTAAGGTTTTGGAGTCAGGTATAGCTACATGCAACACATAGATACGTATTTCCAACTGACTGCCCTTCACATGGCGCGGTCTTGGGCAAGTCGTGAAATCGGAATAGTGAGGCTGATGATACTATTTCATCGGGCTGTTGTAAGACCAGGGTGCTCAGCACAGGGCCTGGTGCCCAGAGAGAACTAACCAAATGACAGAGTAGGATGTGCCTGTGGTGACGGAGAAGCAGCCTGCTTTCCTTAGGAACGGGAATGCCCTCATTTTCCGGGCACAGGTACCCAGCACAGAAGAGTCTTATGAGACAGGGATTGAGAGAGAGTGATTGTGGGGTGTCCACTTGCCCAGGAACCTGGCAGGCAGGAACAGCATGAAGGAGCTTGAGGACGAGGATGGGGAGGACCGACAGGAGGGACACAGCTTGTCGGTTGGTGCTTCGTGTTTCGGGACGGGGAGGGCAGGGTTTAAAGGGTTGAGGGAGACAGAGCATTTTATAGTGGGGCAGAGAAAAGGCAGTATTCCTTATAAATGGCAAGGAAAAGGAAGCGTGGAGGAGTCAGGGTGGGGTAGGTAAATGAGGGGGACATGTTGAGCCTGGGCTTTCTTTTCTTTTCTTAGTCATTTTTTCAGTTTGCTGGAGGGAACGTACACTCCCCAGCAAGAAATGGGGGGGGGTGTTGAAAAGGCACCCTTCCCCCATGGGTGATGGCCATGCCACAGTTCCTTCTCCTCCATGTATCCCTCCTCTCAGGATTTTGGGCATGTATGCACATGCACCTAATGTGTATTTCCAGCTGCAGAGTCTGGGACTCAAACCACGTGGTCGGCCATGTAGGAATCTATCCGCCTTAACCACCATGCCACCAGCTGGTCCCAGATGGGCCATGTTTATTCTGAGAAATGATTGGTTGTTTATCTGAAATTCCAGTTTAACTTGGTGTCCCATGTTTCTCAGCCCTGGGGAGAGACAGGGAGTTGGAGAGACCTGAGCGGAGACTGTGGGGGTGGAGGAAGCAGGAGGCCTGGGCCCCCGAGTGGAGCTGTGCTGGAGAACAAGAGGAGGGCTGGAAAGCAGTGTCATGGAAGCGGGCAGAAGACAGCTGGTTTCTTGGAACAGTGAAAGGAAACACACGAGGGACAGCCTCTGATGGGGGAGACCAGGTTCCAGGGTGACCGGGGGAAATGGTTTTCTTTCAGTGGGTGCTGAGGGCAGACTGAGGCTTCAGAGTGGGGCACGCTTCAAGGACCTCAAACCAGACTCTCTGGAATCTGCTCGTGACTCTGACCCTCCTTGGGCTTGGCCTCCAGCAACTTTGGACACTGGCATGGAAGGTTCCCAGCGGCCCAGGCAAAGCTCGGTGGGGCAGTGCCACGTGCTGACAGCCTCAGGATGGACAGCACAGCCTTGCCAGAGAGATGGCCGTCGGTGGCCCTAGGGAGCTCATTTAGGAAGTGACCAGGCCCACCGCCAAGTCTCTGTGTGAATCTGGCTTCTCCACCCACAGGGGTGAGCCCCACACTAGAATGGCTGTGTCCTCCTGGCAGGGCCAGAGGAGGAAGTGACAGCCCTGCCCCCTTCCTTGCCTCCCAAAGGTGGGGGGGGGGGCAGTGCTGCAAGCACCTGAGAGGTTGTCCTGACATCCTCTGCTCCTGCCAAAACCTGTATGGTTTTTATTATTTTATTTTATTTTATTTTACTTAAAAAATTGTGAAATGCACCATACATGTGAAAAACATATTTAACAGCTATATACATATATTTTTTTTAACTTGCCTTTTAGTGGATGAATTTGATTCATCTTTCATATTCCTTTTTTTTTTAAAATTTGCCAGAGAGCACATGCACTCACCAGAGAGACAGAGGGAAAGCTTGAACGATCTCCCCCATGGGGCATGGTCACACCATAATCTCTTCTCCATCTCTTCCTCCTTTTGGAATTTTGGGCATTCACACTACATGCCCTGGGTGTTTTTCAGTCTGCTAGGTCCAGGACTTGAACTACATGGTCAACCATGTGGAATCCTGCTGTCTTAGCCACCAAGCTACTAGCCGTTCCAGTTTTTCATAATCTTATCCTGCCAAATCTTTATTTATTTAAAAAAATAACCTTTTCTCTTTTTTTTGCGTACTAAAGAAACACATGATGAAGGGATTATGATGGAATTATTACATTTGCTGTGGGTCCATAAGGTAGGAGGCCACTCTATTTTTGGGGGGTAGTGAAGGGAACTCAGGAAGTCTTCAGAGACAAGAAGAAACTTCAGTGAGGTCTTCAGTATGAGGAGTCCCTCAGGTAGGCAAGGAAAAGGGTGAGAATGTCTAGCAGAGAAATAAGACAGAGAGGGGCCAGCAGTTGGCATAATGGCTGTGTCACTGATCTCCCATGTAGTTAACCACGGTTCAAGGACCGGACCCGGTGGCTTAAACTCACGCCAGGCATGTGTGCGTGCATGCTCAAGATCCCAAGAGGAGAATGGAGAAGAAGGGATTGTGGCATGGCCATCCCCCCAGGGGGATGATTTCTCACTTTCTGACTTTCTGTCTTTCTGGCGAGCGCACGTACCCTATAGCAAAAACCTCCAAAATAACTAACTAACTAACACAGAGAGTAGTTATAAAATAGCACAACTGTCATCTTAGCAAGTTAGTATTGGGTAGAGGAACCCAAGAGATGAACTTAGAAAAACAAATCTGGGATCCTTACTGAAAGATGGGCTTCGTTTATTACACAAGGGTTTATTTCTTTATTTTCAATTTCAATTTAATTTTTGTTGCATATGTGTAATGTACATGTGGCATCAAATTCAGAAAGGTTGCAAGATATACAGGCAGAGCCAGCAGGTGGAATGGTGGGTAAGGCAGCTAGATCCCACATGGTTGACTGTGTGCACAGTTTGAGTCTGAGACCCGGAAGCTTAAAAAGTATGCCAAGTGGGACCAGCAGGTAGTGTAATGGTCATGTTGCTGGTTCAAATTCTGGACTCTGGCTTGAAACTCACACCGTGTGTGTGTGTGTGTGTGTGTGTGTGTGTGTGTGCGCGCGCACGCACCCAAAAATCCCAAGAAGACTGGAGGAGAAGGGACTGCAGCATGGCCACCCTGCCGGCTGCGGGGGGGGGGGGTGATTTCTCACTTTCTGTCTCTGTCTCTCTGGTGAGCTCATGCACCCTATAGCAAAAATCTCTCTTAAAAGAAAGAAAGAAAGTAAGAAAGAAAAACATGTCAGGTGCATGTGTGTGAATGCCCAAAATCTGACAGGAGAGAGAAATGGAGAAGGGGTTATGATGTGACTATTTCCCTGGGGGAGTGCTTTCTCATTTTCCCTCTCTTTCTTTCTGTCTCTCTGGTGAATGCATACAACCTTTGGCAAATTAAAAAAAAAATTAAAAAGGAGAGAGAGAGAAAAACAAGGTACACAGGGAATCTTAAGTCTCCCCTTCCCTACCCC